TGGTCTTCAGACAACAATTCTGACGGCTAAAGAACCAAATGGGACAGGCAGAAAAAAAAAGTTTTACTGAAAATGGGAGAAAGATGTTATTGAGAAATAAATTTCCTATCAGCTAGATGTCGAATGAGTCATACGTTATTAATAAGAAGACCAAGTGCTTATTTTTATATACCTATAAAGAGTCTATAAGTGATTATTTTATACACTTTGCTATCTAAAGAAGTAGCACAAAGCAACTTCTCGGGTTAAGTGGAAAAAAAGAGAAAAGTCCAAGGTGCCCATTTCTTCCAAATGCAACTTGTTTTGGGCTCGGAAAGCAGATAAACCTTCATAGACTTCCGTGTTAAAAGGCCAAACTTGAGAGAAGAAGAAAAGCAGGTTTACAGCCTGGTACAAAAGAAAGACGTTTATTTTATGGGATTAATTTTTTATGTATTATCCGCTGGTTAAGTCTGACGTCATTTCCAGGTCCAAAGACTCCTTTGGTTCCCAAAATCAAACACTCAGGGGCGGGTAAAAGTTAAAAACAGTCTGAATTCTTTCAGCTCCAACAAAATAATCAGTGTGGCTGTTCTCCCAGGTTTTTCAATAAAGTTTAACATCCAAGAAGCTATGAAAACAGGATTTACAAAGTTTAGTGGAGTTGGAACTTTGCAAGAAGTTAGGTCTTTAGTTTCCTGCTAAAGATGATAGAATTTCTGATTGAAGTATTTCGGGAAAAAAACAACAACAAAAATGGCTTTTCTATCATTATGGACATAAACAGAAATACAAAAATAAATAACAACAACATTTGAAGAGTTAGTAAAGGTGGGTTACCTGACTTAGAATCAAATGATAAATAATATATAATTAATTTTTTCCCTTAGTAAAAGGTTTTGTTGAGAGTAAACGGGCAAAGCCAAACATAAAGCAAGAAAAATGCTGAAAACAGATAAAACCTCCATTAATAGAACGTCTAAGATCACATCCACAACACGAGGATGGTTTTGAATATATTGAGGTGTTGTTTGAATTACTGTGGAAAAAGTCATGATCCAAAGCTTAATATCAACAGTGAAGCGCAGGATAGTCGAAGAGCACCTGCTATGGTTGACTTTTGACAGCAGTACAGTATGTCAAACATTCACACAACCAATAGAAACACAGAATGACCAGAGCAGGCTCATGTAATAGACAGAAATTCCATATTACAGGCATAGCGCAGCAGCCAGTGCAACCATAATTTCCGACTTGGTCAACCTAGCAGTCAGCGCACAGCATGTCGCTTTTTGTGTGAAACGGCCCTGATTTTTTTCTGAAGCATCCACATAGTCATAGAAAATGATTCTTTCTATTAAATAAAACAGCATTACGACACGTTAAAAAGACTGCAGCCTCTGTGGATGCAGCAGGATCTTGGACCACGAAACATGATTGATACAGCACTGCTTAACAAGCGAGAGGGGCTTCTCTGAAAGACAGGTGGTGGGTTGACAGACGGCTAATTTGAGTCACTGAACGGGAGTTATCCTCCATGTTTGTAGTGTTTGATCCTTTTAGCACATTTTAAATTTAATTATGTTACAAATTTTACGTTTTTTTGTGGACAGTTATTTAAGATCGTGCTAGAGGTCTCGCTGTTTTTTTCTCTTCGTATTTCTTTGTTTTTTTGTCAATCAGTGAATTTCTAGTATTATTTATCCATCCATCCACTTGCTTCCACTCGCCCTTACGACAGATGGCATGTTATTATTTATGTTGGTGCTAATTAGCAGGTACTTATCTGTGAGATGCATCCATATAGTGTATGAATGCACCCTGCTAGCCTTAGCTGATAACTTGGCACTCTACCCTTTCGTCTGGCTCCAGACTACAACATGGCAACTCCCCAAATACCGAACTCAGAGATTCAAAATGGTGCAAACAAATGGCTGAATCTTATGTTTTCAGAGCTTTTTCTTTGTTTCTTTGTTTCTTTGTTTGTCTGCACCTTGCTGAGAGGGGAAAGGAATGTGGGAGGTGTGGCCAACACGAGTGCTCCAATGGGACATACAGAATATTTGAATGTTATAACCTTTAATTTTTCATTTCTTCAGTGTGCATTTGAACTAGTTTCAGTACACCCCGTGCATATTGCAGTGTACAGTCGTTTAAAGGCTACATGGGAATCATAGGATTTTCACCTGGATCCATAAAAGTGATCATGTCATATGCCAAGATTAATATGATAAATTGTAGATGAAGAAATATTATTTTTTCTTACCACTCAGTCTGCATTTTGGTAAAGTAGCAGCAGGATAAAACTTAAAGGGACATTTTTTCTATGCAAATTATTATTTTTTTATGTCTGTCGTGCATTCCAGTCTACACTCTTTTTAAAAAGAATTGTTTCCACAACAAGTCCACTGAGATCCATATCGCACAAGAAAGCAGCAAAGGCCTGACATTTCCCGTGTATAACGATGCGTCTTAAACATTCTTTTAACAGATAGCAGTAATTTTGACTCTTTAGATGAAATAGTGTCAGACATTGAAGTAGTTGCCTTGCAGTGTCGGGATTTTTCTTGCACGGTTTTTATGTCTTGTTTACAGTTAAACTTATTGGCCCACTTTAACTGAGGAAGCTCACACTTAGCAAACATCAGAGCATTTTTTTTCTGCGTTGGCAGATGCATCTATTCAGCATACAAAAATACACGAGTCTAGAAGGGAGGGGGAAAAACGACTTTTCAAGGAACAGAAGCTACATGTCTCCATGGCTCTTTTGTTTTGCGACAGAGGTGTGTGTGGTGGACTGTGGCCCCCACGGCTCCTGCATAAGTGGTGTGTGTCACTGCGAGGAAGGCTGGACAGGACCAGAATGTGAGCAGAGGGACTGTCACCCACGCTGCATCGACCACGGAGTCTGCCGAGAGGGCAAGTGTGACTGCCACCAGGGCTGGACGGGTGAACACTGCACCATCGGTGAGCCATGGTGACACATACAGTAACGTACACCTACACACCCTTGACAGAAGGGCACAAACTGCAGAGGAAATTCATTTATGGGCAGATTTAAAAGGGCAGCTCTGGAGTGTGAATGTCAGTATTTTCAGCGCAGCTTCAAGCATCAGGCACAGATTGTGGTACTGCTGTCGCTGCTTACCTTTTCAATACAACTACCTTAGCATGGCAAGTGATGAGTAGTTTTTGATGATATTCACAGAGCTTAGAGGTAAACAACTGCGTCTTGCAATCCAATTTTCAGAGATCACTGAACCAAACACTGTATCCATGATCTTTATCCTTATCTTCCTTTTTTAATGTTTATTTATATATTTATATATCTTCTAAACATTTCTGTGTCTTATAACATTTCTTCTAAATGTCTGTCAGACACAGTCAGCGTTGGAGGGTAACTCAAAAAGATTTACTCTGCTACATGTTTATTACGGATTTTTAACATCAGTTTATCAAACCTGTCGCATTTTTGAAACTATATAAAACCTTTTTGTCTCGATAACTAACCAGATGCAATAACAAAGCACTTCTCGTGTAAATATTTAGGTGCTGGAGATTAATATTAATATAATATTTTATGGTATAAACACTTTTACAATAATTACTGAGCATTTTAGTGTCAGATTTTCCTTCAGAGTGACTCTATTTACACGGTCTTGCTGCTTTTTCAGTAAAAGCTTTGAGTGCTTCCACCCCCACTAGCTTCGGTGACTATACTGAACATAATAACACCATTTTTCAATGTATTCATTCCGTTCATTGTTATTAATTTGATGAATTTTATTATTTATTTTTAATCTTTTTTTGTTGGCTGCTGATCCTTTCGGCCACCAGCTTCTGTTCAACAAATCTATTTTTCTTTTACCTGCTGTCTAATATTGTGGTGAGTATAAATGTACTGGTGGTGGATTAAAACTAGAATTAAACCTTGGAAACAGAGAGAATCTTGACAAAATGAATTTCTGTTACAAGGTTGCCAGTTTTGCTTTTAAATCAAGATGTAACGAAACATTTTCCAAGTTTAAAAAAAGAAGCGCCGGGATCTTACGCACAGATGTTATCTCGTCTCTTTAGAGAGAAGAAAAAAAATCTTCTTGCGGCGCCGTATTACAATTAACTTTGTAATTTAGAGCATCGGTTTAGATATTCAACCTTTCGCCTGCTGAAGTGACGCCTCTTTTAGTGAGTCAAGGGCAGGTATTTAGGGAGCCAAAAAGCCACGGGTAGGCCTCTTTGGAATATCATTTTCCTGAAATGGCAGTGCTTCACCTGGCATTAATGAGGATAATGAGTTCTGAGATGTCACTTCCTATTGACCTTTAACTCAAGCTTCCTTCACACCTTACCCTTTGTCAAAGGTCCTGTAGTTAAACCTTGACCCGCCGCTTCAAGCAGCATTCCCCCAAGTGTAATTTCCAACCTCTCAATGCCGACACATTCTCTCTGAAACAAAGATCTAGCACTCCAAACTCTTGAACCCTAATTATGTATTTACAAGTTCTCTCATCAGCAATCCCGCTGTCCGCAGCGCATATCCATCTCCAAGGGGAGACGAGATTGCAGTGAGGGAGTTGTTGGAGGGGTCACATTCCTGATCTTATTAATCTTTCCCTCCTAAGCGCCGACTGTGCATCATCCATTTTCGCTTTCTTTCCTTCCTTCTGTTTAAGGTTCCCAGCAGGAAAGTAACTCCTTGCTTTGGATGCAGGGTCAATGAATAGGCAGTGCGTTACCTTTTCTTGGACGACTGGGAGCCTATTTTGTCTTTCAAACCCTGAATAACTGCCATTTGCACAAAGCGTCTTTTAATCACATTACATGGTCAGAGTCTGAATAGAGGACTTCCTTGGCCATTGTATTGTCACATGGATCTAGATCCTGTTTCATATGCAAGGCTTAACCCATTGTCGCTGCTTTCTCAGTACTGCAGTTTTCCGCTAAGGTGTTTTTGATTTGTCTTTGTGTGCTGCTGGTTCGTTGGCACGCTGTTGTTAAAATCGCTGAAGGAGAGATGATGGGGGAAAAAAAGTATAGTATTCTGCTTCATGATGCATTCATATTGGAATGAGGCCGAGCCTATACTCCTGACAAGCAGACAGTAAAATGTTTTGAAGCAGACCCAGATGAAACTGGCTCATACACTCTGACAACAAAGAGTGTTATAACACACAGATATAAAGAGAAACAGTGCGCTCGCCGTTATTTTAGACCATCTTTCTATGGCAAAGTAAATCAGCTGGAGAGTTTTAAAATGAATATTTCACTGGGAACATATTGCCAAATTCTTTTATGTTGCTTCCTGTAGACAGAATACAAATCATTATCGGCATCTATAATTCTGATTAATCACTTAGTGCTTTAATTAACATCTAGACTCACTTTTTAAATGCTAGATGTTTCCTCTTGATGTAGCAAAACTGTGGATCCATCCCTCTAAATATGCTGCTTCTCTTTCTTCTTCTTCTCTTACATAAATGTCCTACTTGTCAGTTTTCCCCCCCTATTTACATATCTTTAACTAACTTTTTCTTATGTCCATTCTCTTTTCTATTTTATGTTTGTGTGCCTGCCTGTCTGTCTCTTTGCAACTCCGTCTTGGCTTACATGTATTAGCCCTGGATTCAAGAGTATCAGGTAACAAAACAAAAAAAAAACACTTTACACTTGGAAATTATACACTTCACGCTAGATATTTTTTTTCTGAGCCAGCTGAACACCTTTATTTTGCTTAAAAAATGTGAACTGTGTTAGCAATGGGTGAGCTCACTGCTTCCCTCTCTTTCAGTAATATCAATAACATCCTGTCACTCATGCTTAATATTAGCTATTCGGCTCAATCACCATAACCACTGTGATACATACAGAGGAGAGAGATTGAAATTAGAGCAGCAGCTAACACGTGGGGAGGACAGCAATAATCTTCGGGAAAACTACCTGCAAAGCTTCTTTTCCAAATATTTAAACCAAGTTGGCAGGTACATCAGCTTTATGCCAACCACGGTTTCCACTTTTTGTACTCCCTGTAAGTTACAATAAGTAAATGTGTTTGTCAGTCTTAGCTCTCTGCCACCACAGCGATAAGTAATTTTCTTTTCCAAATGTTTCCCTTTCCTCGGTTGTGTAATAGGAGCAGTCAAGATAGGATATAAAGGTAAATTGAACCACTACCCCCCCAAGGGAGATTGTCACGAACAATCCCTCCCTGCTCTTTGTCTTTCCTAGCACGGCGTATATACACCTGTTTTATGTCCAAGTCGATCATAATGTTTCTGCTGTGATCCTGCTCCCCTCGATATGTCCCCTCATTTCCTGTCCGTCCTTACCAGTCTCACACCAGACTCCACGGTCCCTTCTCCTCCCTGTCTTAATTCCCTGTGTCTGCCAGATTAAACGCCCTGAACTGGTGTGGTTTAGTCATGTTTGGGCTCCCTGTCTTCACCCTCCACTAAAAGGAATGCGATCTGGCAGCAAGTGCACTGTTTTCTGTAAATGTGGAGACTCTAGACCCTCCCTCCTCTTCTCACTCTTCTCCCTGCTATTTACATACACTTCCTCTTCCCTTTGATGTTGCTGTTACTTCACATGAGTGCTTCTAACATCTGCAATGTACTACTCCTGCTTTAATTATATTCAGGCAAAAAAAAAAAGAAAAAGCAATGAACTTCCAAGACAGTGTTTCGAGCTTCTTAAATGGGATTTGTGCAACTTTTAACTAAAATAAAAGAAGAAGAAGAGCAAGATCCTTGAAATTCTGATTCACATATAAACAAGAAAATTGTTGGGGAATTGACATTAAGAGACTGCAGTTCATTTAAAAATCACAGTGTGAGGATCCATGTAACCTTAAAAGATGCTACTTCAAAAAGAGCCATCCAGACTTTGATTTAAACACAAAATCACTGCTGTGAGCATTTGACTCAACAAGCATTCGCAGCATCTCCCACTGGCTTTTCAACAGTAAGTAAACAACTGAGATGGTTTGTTGTCCTTTTATCCCATGCATTTCCCTTTACGCTGTGCTTGCACATTATAGTAAAACTCATGTGAAACGACCGTAACGCCTCACAACTCCCCACCTCCCCTGCCCCCCATCCCCAGTCCTGTTGGAGGTGTATTGTACCGTACGTTCACTTATTACCGTCTTTTTTCTTTTTTTTTAATCATTTTTGTCCCTCCTTCTCCTCCGTCCACTCTAAAAGCCCCTTTCGCTCTTGTCTTCTCACCCCTTCCTCGCCTTCTCATCCTGATTTCCTCGTCCTGATGCGTTTGGCTGTTTGACATATACGTGATGTGTTGACAGACGGCTGCCCCGGGCTGTGCAACAACAATGGGAGGTGCGTCCTGGATCAAAACGTCTGGCACTGCATCTGCCAGTCAGGATGGAGAGGGCTGGGATGCGATGTAGCGACCGAAACGCTCTGTTCAGATGGCAAGGATAACGAGGGAGGTAGGAAGAAGTAAAAGCTTCATACAAATTGTCTTTTTAGCCTTGGAAAAAAAAACTGGTGCGTATCTCTTATTGCACCAGACAGAAAACTGGCTTTGATGTGGCTCCTCGGTGACATTGCAAACAAACAAAACAAATCAATCATACATAAAACATCACTGGAAAGAATATGCTAATGTAGAGGCAGAGCAGATTGTTAAACAGCATGCTTTAAAATATACAGTAGATCAATTATAAAGACTTGTTGGCACTATATATTAAAACTCTGCGAGCTGGATTTCTAATGAACTTCTCCTTGGCCTAATCAACACCCCAGAACTTTTGAGGTTCGCGTGTGGCGACAGACACTTCACACTCTGTGTCAGTGCAGGATCTCTGTCGGTGCTTTAATGAACTTAAGTTCATGTAAGAAGTCATCTTTGTGTATCAGAGGTGAACACAGTAATAGAGATGCTTATGTTTTCCTTCGTCAAACCCAAACATATCCAGGTCAACCGAGCTTTTCCTCCCTGTCTTGACCGCCCCTCCTGTTTTCCAGACGGGCTCATCGACTGCATGGATCCAGACTGCTGCACTCAGATTGCCTGCCAGGGTCAGACCTACTGTCGTGGCTCACCTGACCCAGCTGCCATCGCAAGCCAGAGCCAGAGTTCAGTCGCCCAGTCTTCTTCTAAGAGCTTTTATGAACGCGTCAGTTTTTTGATCGGCCCCAGTGGCAGTCACGTGATACCCAGGGATAACCCTTTCAACAGCAGGTAAGCAGCTTAATGAGTTACTGACAGCTTTTTAATTATTTGGATCCAGTTAGCTGTTTGCTGTCTCATTACCGGTAGAGAGGCACACCTGTGCAGCCCCTCGAAAATGTCGTAGGATCTCACATCTTTGTCTTTGCAGTCAAAGTGACAAGCCTGTTTACAGTCGCTTGGTTGCCACACGGTTTTATTTATTTATTCTACAAGTTGGGATTAAGTGGTTCAGGAATAAGCTTGCTCCCTGTTAAAATCAGCCCTTATGACTATAAAAACATAAGGATTAGACTGCTTAAACCCAGATAACAGGACCATGTGATTTTCCAAATTGAAAAAGGAAAGTACAGCATAATTTAATTTTTGCATCAGTGAGCTGCCCGTCACACACAGTTTGTATAACAGAGACCTGATAGAACGCTTTCTCATTTAAAACTGTTCTTCCATCAAAAAACATCAAACACGGATAATTTTGTCAAGTTATTACTGACTGAAAAAATTAGAAAAATCCTGTTGCTGCAATGTTGTACATGATGACCACTTTGATGACAATGAGTCACTTCTTTAGTTCATAACTCATAAAGGTGACATTTCTGTTTTATAAGAAGGTACAGGATTGCAGAAAGTTTCCTGTAATTATTAGCCACGGTGAAAGGCAGATTTGTCAGTTGTTTGGCTGCTCACTGCTACCAACTGGCTGCTCACTGCTATGATACACTGTCATGAAATTCTGTGCAGGCAGTCATTTTAACCTGGAGAATGTAAAATGGACATCACTTTGACCCTGAAAAACAGCATCACAGTTATACCCGTTTTCTACATTCTCCTCTGCTTATCCACTTCAGGGTCATGGGGGCGGGGCTAGAGCCTAGCCCATCTGTCATACGGTGAGAGGCAGGGTACGCCCTGGACAGACAATCAGTGTGTTAATTGGGTAATCACCAATTAACCAAACACTGCTCAGGTCTCTGGACGCACAGAAACAAAAACTGCACACAGAAATGTTTAGTGTAACCTCGCAAAGCTGCTCAAAAACTATTCTTTTGTTTTATTATTATTTTATTTTTTTTCCTCACATTCCTCAAGAAGTTTAGTCTTTTGGATTTCAACTCTTTGACATGCACCACTAGATATATTTACCCCACATTCTACCCACACAGATTTATTGTGCTTCTGAGACATTTTGACACTGATGGGCATAAAAGCTGAAACTTTTTGTGTTTCTCAGGACTCCTTTTATTCATTGTGACACCTTGCACTATGCCTACGTCTTTTTCTTGAGCTCGTTGCATGAATTTGATTTTTAGTGGTTTTTGTATGACTGAAAAGTTTGATGTAAAGAGCAACAAGACCTTACCTCATGATTAAAGTACTGTACAATATCTCTGTGCAAACTGAAGAGACTGTTATATTTTTCATGTAAACTTCGGTGCATTCCCACATCTGTTCAGAATCACAAGAAGAGTTTGTTTTGTGACTGATGGAGAGGAAAATGATTGCCAAACTGTGTGCAGAAGGCTTTGGGAATATTTCCGCCAATAGTTTAAAGTAATCCTTATGTAAATAGCATGCTTTACTGAAAATATAGAATGAGGCAATTCCCCACAGCCGGGTTCTCAGTAATCCTCATCCTCATTGTCTTCAGCTTAATGTCGATTTCATGTCTGGCAGTGGCATTAGCTCTCTTGCTCAAAATATTCATTTGCCTTTTTATCTCCTCATAGAAGTTAGTTTTATAGTCAAAAACAGTGTTTTAGGAGCTCTGCAAACATGCGTAGTCCTAAATTTTACAAAATTAATTACCTTTTTTTAATCTTATCGCTACATGGCAAATACTGCATACATGAAGTAAATTTTGAAAGAGTCATATAATGAAGTAGAATTTAGTAGTGACAGGGTTTGTTTGGAGACCCCTTTTTGTTTTTTAATTCATTTGAGGTTATAGAGTGAATAATTTATCCACTGCCTTTGCAGAGTATACATTATGAGAGTCTCTGAAGCACTGGAACAATGCCAGAAGAGAAGACTTTCAGCGACGGTAGTGACTGTTATGCCAAGCCGTAGAGTATCTGATGTTTAAAGGTAGAGAAATGAGACACAGCTAGAGGTCATTCATGTCCTTCTATTTTTAAGAAGCCATTGTGTTAGCCCAGAGAAAGGCAGCCGATTTCAGTGTGTGGTCAGGTTTCAGAACTCAGCAGTAAAGTTGTCCCTCGTATAGCACAGAGAATAAAACATGTGTTGTGGTGTAGTGCCCCCCCCCATCCCCCCAACCCTCTCCCCTGCACAATAGTTCCCCAGCCATATCACATGTCCCCACACAAGTCTCCCGCTGGGTTTTGAGACGTTGTTTTTCTACCGCCAGTCTGGCACAATGACAGATAAGAATGCATGAATTATATGATTCATTTCTGGGGTTTCAGCAGGTGGTGCGACTTTGCGTTTGTTTGGTGGTTCAGTTCTTGTATCATCCGTCTGCCTCTCAAAAGATTAATAGAGTCACAGGGAAGGAAGAGGGAACCTTCGCTGTGGCTCTTAAGTGGCCTTGTTCTTTGAGCCAGTAAATAAACGATGGGAGATGGTTGTACCAGACATGAAGCGGGAGGGAAATGAGAGGCTAAAGCTGTTGATCATCTTTCTTTCTCGCTCTCTCTCGCACACACGCTCTCACTCTCATATACGTAATGACCCGGAGATAAAGTGGCAAAATAGAACATTTTTTGCCCACCGGTGAAAAATGCAGAGGGAACGCTTTTAAAATTCTGCTCCACGGCTGAGAAATTGGAACAGCTAAATGTTGATGGAGAAATATAGTTTTGTCTTTCCCTTTAACTGTACCTTCAAACAGAGGACTACCTTAACAAATCGCTTCGCACTTAAGAATATAAAAATAAAGATTAGTGTTTGACAAGTTCTACCTGCAGGCCCAGCAGTCGTGATGAATAATGGCAGAGGATGAGGATATCTGATGCTTTAAATTATGTATGAATATTCCGTGTTTGTGATTTACAAAGCAGAAATGCACAAGAAAATGCCTTTTGTTTTAGGGGAAAACAGGGAATGAACTGCTAGAGGTGCTGAACCTATTGACCAGAAGCAAATCCATTTACCAGCAGGGAAAATCTGAGTTGGGGAAACTAAATGAGTAATGCTCCCCCATGCCAGACTAACTACCACAGAGGTACCCTAAAGTGAAGCATTTAACCCCCCATCCCCACCCAACACTATAACCACCACTGCCGCTGCCATTTGCTCCAGTAACATTACAGTTTGACCAGCGGTAGAGGGTGAACTACATAAATTATAAATCTGCCACCATATGTGAACATCTGGTGGCAGATTTATGTTTCCAACACATTGTTGTGTTGGAAACATAGACATAGTGTGTTCAAAAATTCTGTTTTCTTCTTTTTGAACCAAACGTATACACACATTGTTGCCCACAGACTTTAAATGAGCAAAAGCCTCCGCTTTTGACTCGTCACTGCCTAACACTGTATGTGTTCTGTATTCCAACTGCATTTTTCCTTTCACATCTAGAGTACTTATGGCTTCACCTTATAAAAAATCGCTGTGGCGATTCTGTTGTGTTGTAGAACTGCTTTTCTTTTTCAAAACCCTTCATTTTTTTCCATTTGTGACAGTTTGCCTCGAGCATTGAATTTTGTTGTTCTGAATTCCTATAAAGTGCCTCTTGACACGTCACTTGCCTGGCTTTGCAACTTCTCACATCAAGAGGATGTCTGTAACTGAGCTGAAGAGCTCATTCCAACACAATTCTTGTTGATATATTATCTTTCATCACAAGTATTACTACAGACATTTATCACGCTAGCGAACGCAAGACTTCAGTATGACACTGACAAAAGGCTCTTTTTCAGAAGCAACAGCACTTGCTGGAATAATCACACTTGGATCACACCCTCTTCAAATACAATTTAGGGGAAATTCCAAATTCAGCAAGGTCAGATAACAATACTGTGAATATTTCACTCGTGAATCTCATTTGATAGCCTCACTGCTGGGTGTATTGTACACTTCATTTACCGAGTTGACTTTACTGAGGAGACTGATAATTTAACTGTGAATGTTGTTGGCTAGAGAAGATGCTGTGTGTTTACACTTTATTCCCACAGTTTTCTGTAATGGCCTCACAAATTGAAATGCCCTTACAGCTATACGTAGTGTGTTCAGTTGTGTCTTGTCATAACAGCACCTATTTTTATATTGCGCATTAAATGCATGAAAAAAATCTATATTTGCATTCTTGTGGAATATAAATGCTGCAATACGAGTGCAAGACGCTGCAAAATCTTAACAAGAAGCCCTCAACCAACTGATTTATGGGTCCTTAAAAGCAGTAAACAGACACAGAGAGTGGCTCTGTTAGGTGCCGTTTTCATGAGTAACGACCACTGACGTGTGTGTGTTCTTAACAATCAGTAAGTCATACCTCTTAGCTCATGCCTCGGGCAAGGGGATGACAGTTGTTAGCAGTGCTGATGCGGTGGATGCTTGTTGACACCGGCTGGCATTGTTTGTTTACTCAGCTCTTTCTGTGTTTGTTTGCCCTCACAGCCTGGCATCAGTCATCCGGGGTCAGGTCCTAACGGGAGATGGGACACCGCTGATTGGAGTCAACGTGTCTTTTCTGCACTACTCAGAGTACGGCTATACTATCACACGGCAAGATGGCATGTAAGTTAGTTTCCCCTGTTCACGTGCATCATTAGGGGCATACAACGGAAAACACAGTCATCTTTACACAACGATCAACAAGTGTACAAGCAGACACCCAGCCAGCTCAGTCTTGGGTTTTAACCTTTGCCCTGGCGAAAATATATTTGTAGCATGTCCTGCTGTCCCCAGACTCGTGTGGAAAAATCCAAGAAAAAAAAAGGCTGTCCAGCAGAGGAGGAATTGTCCTGGCAGTTATCCAAAATGTGCTCAAAACAAATCGAAACAGCAGCACATTGTGCCCTAGAACAATTCCTCATGCAAATGTCACAGTGGTGGAGGCCATTTTGAACCAGGCTGTTTAAAATGCATTGAATCAGCAAGGGTAGAATCAATCTGCCCGCAGTGTAGTAAAACATGGGATTACTGCCTGACCTTCTCGTGCTATTACCACAGACTGGCTATTAATAATGGGAGTGCAAATACATACAAGACAAACGTATGTCACACATTTTACAGCGAGCGTTCAGCTCAGGTAGGAGCTTCAATTCGCACATGGTCGTCAGAGATTATGAACCGAGCCTTCGTTCGAATTCAACAGATAGAAACCATATTTATGTGCTGCCAATGTGGAATAAAAAGGCTTATTGAGTGGCAGAGAATTGTACAGCTGTTGTTATGAATCACAATCCTTGGGTCCCCAGATAGCCGAGGATTAGCTGATTTCTTCAGATATTCCGCCCTGTAACTCTTCTGACAAGGAGCGTGATAAATGGTCGGGGATAATCACACTTGGTTAGCCAACAGATCCGCTCAGTGTGTTAAGAAGGGGGGGGGCAGCATCAAAGCCTGGCCTCTTGCAGCTGTGAGCTCCCCACTGCCCAAAGTGGAAAGAGCTTGAGAAGGAAGCTGTTTTAGGTCAGCTGCACAGCTTGGTTGTCGCTTGCGTGTGCGTGTGCACGGGTCCGGGTGCGTACATGAGATGTGCAAGTATTCAAATCTCCGTGTGTGTGTGTGTGTGCCTTTGTGGATGTGGATACATACAATGTCACTACGCAGATGCTTTACCCCCTGGGTAGTGGAGCACGCTGAATATATAGAGCAGCACTTCAAAGACTCGCCCTTCATTTCCAAACCAGTAACTTTTCCCTGAGTAATGTTGTACTAATTAAACCAGTTCACCAGTGAAAACTCCCAGAACTCTGAACCAAATTCAACCATAAAGTGTCTTCTAACACCACGCTGAGTGAACAGAAGTCATAAATTAGATTCAGTGAATAATAATATTATATGGAGACTGAACAGAGGGATCACTTTGATAGGGAAAACTGCCTTTGAAAAAGGGATTATCAGCCTTAACATAAATATTTACTTTGCTACTTTGAACTTGAGGAGACATTTCAAAATTATATCAGTCTAAGTTTTCGCCATCATTAGTCATTAATAAAAAACAAATCCAAGGCGATGGTGGTGATTAAATCTGGAAATGTGCTAACACTGCTAATGAAAGGTCAGTTACTTGCTCTCGATTCCTTTGTTAAAATAACTGATTATTGCAAATATTCTTTTGGCTTTGCATAAAAAATAAAGGTGTTTGGATGTTATGATGAAGCATTTGACTTGTTTTCAGCGTATCATGTTTAATGGTTGTCTTTTTGACAGCTAAGAAACATGTATAGTATATAGTTCTATTGTAACGAATGGAAATGAGAGTCAAAATAACCAAAATTAAGTTCAAAGATGTAAAAGAAACCTCTAAAGATTTTACTGCAGAAGATGATTTCAGTATTTTTACATAATAAGTGCAGGTTATTCAGTTGCTGTTTCTATTTAAGCATTAAAATTCGTACGCTTCTATTTCCTTCCAACATTCGAAGGTTTGACCTCTTGGCCAACGGTGGAGCATCACTGACGCTGAGCTACGAACGAGCTCCCTTCCCCACATTGCACCGAACAGTGTGGCTGCCCTGGAACGTCTTTCATGTGATGGACACGGTGGTGATGAAGCGGGAAGAGAACGACATCCCCAGCTGTTACCTGACGGGCCTAGTCAGGCCCAACCCCGTCATCCTGGCCACACCCCTTTCTACTCTTTACAAGACCTCCCCAGAGGACAGTCCTATCATCCCAGAAACCCAGGTGAGATCCATGTCATAGAGGGGCATTGGATGGTGGTCAGTCCTAGATTTATTGGTATGACGCGTTGTTTTGAATGACCTGTGTTTGAGTCCAGTATTACAGACAGCAATGCTGAAAATACACAAGCACAGAGTAACAATAATGCTGTTATCTTCCTTTCACCATGGCTTTCTTCCCTTTTTTAAACTGCGTTTTTTAAACTCTTTTTAAAACAGATTTGCCTTACACGATGCCTTTGGGCTTTGATTGAAACGAGGCATCTCCACTAAGCCATAAATTGTCTCATAGCAACACTGATAAATTCTAAGGGTACATTGCATGGAGGTTACATGCCTCAGGATTTGGTTTGTTTCCATTTGGCCCAAATCTATGTTGTAAATCCCTAAATGTAGAAGTTGACTTTGCAGCTTTTGCTGTTTTTACTGTTTGGAACAAATTCTGTCTGTGTTACATCAGAGGGATGAAATCAAAATCATTGGACATGCTTCAACATAAATATAGTGTCGGTATGTGAGGCAACCAGGACGAAAACGAAAAAAATAAGAATGACTTCTGTCAATTATTAGTTGAGGTGTTCAAGTATTTTTTTTTCCTGAGACTTTTAATAATGAAGAATTCATTTACTGCCTGTGGAGCTCAATTTGCATTTAGAAGATTGCAGTTTGTGGCTGGCATAAGTAAAAACTCTTCTTTAAATAGTTTGGCTTCCTAAAAAGTTCATAATGTTTGACTGCTTAGAATAAAATGTATGTATTTCTAGCAACAAACAAGGTTTTTCTGAGATGAAATTCGTTTTAATGTGACCTGGATAATAAATTGTATGTATGTTATCCTGCATTTGAACTTATTGTCATTAAATACATACGTTTGTTGCTCCTATTAACTCTGTTACTTAAGTCTACTCCATGCTGTGGCTTTGGCACTGGTCTGACTGCTAATTAAATCTTAGGTCCTTCATGAGCAAGTGGCCATACCAGGCAGTGACCTCAACCTGGTCTACCTGAGCTCCAGGGCAGCTGGCTACAAGCCCATCCTCAAGGTGCTCCTGACCCAGGACCGTCTCCCCTTTGGCCTGATGAAAGTCCACCTGATGGTGGCCATCATGGGCCGTCAGTTCCAGAAGTCTTTTCCTGCCTTCCCCGACCTTTCTTACACTTTCATCTGGGATAAAACAGACGCCTACAATCAGAAGGTCTTTGGCCTGGCGGAGGCTGTGGGTGAGTTCCTGCTGTGAAGCTGCCTACTGAAGATGTTGTGTAAGCACAAGTTCACCGCCAGATACTTGTGCTACCTTCAGGCAGTGAACCTTAGTTGAACTTTTAAAGATTGATTTTACTTTTTTTAAATTGAGGGTTATTTAGCTGGGGACTGCTTTTGTTATCATGTGCAATAAAGATTTAGCAGGTGGTGTGAAATCCTGAAATCCCCCTGTGCTGCATTTTTGAAGGCCATTGCTCTTTTGCTGACTTCTTTGTTTTGCATGTATGATATTTCAGCAGCTGTGCACTTACTGAAATATTGCCTCTGAGGCAGAGGCCTGGAAAAAAAGGGGGAAAAACAGCCAAGGGTCAATAGTCAGAAATACTGATGAAAAAATAAAGTGACAGAATCTTTTCATGCAGAATATTTTGATTATTTTATATTATAACTGGTTAACTGAACATACTTATTTATATACTGGTGGGGTACAGGCTTACATCTAGTAGCACTTGCATCATCGCAGTTTACTGATAAAATTTTCAAAGCTCAACATGAACCGAGAGTTCAGAGAATTTTGCAGCATTTGTGATTTTTCCTAAAATGTGCTCCATCTGAACTTTGATCATTTCAATATTTCTTGCCACCTTATATTTTGATTATTTGGAATTGTGGTTTATTTGCATTTACACAAGATAAAACAGACAAATGAGAGGAGAATACATAAACTCCAAACAGTGCAGGCAAGACACAGAAACCCCATGGGCCTTCTAAACTCATCCCAGCTGGAGAAAATTAAACAGCCAAAGAGAAGGCAGAACCAGGAAATACAAGAAATGGCAACGACATGTACTGAATGTCTTATAAGCTACAAGCCTCATTGCTGCTATAAGTGTCTTATAAGGAGGTTGTAACCTTGCTCACCACAGGCGTCTGCTGTCATTACTTTCAGTGTCAGTGGGATATGAATACGAGTCCTGTCTTGATGTGGTGCTCTGGGAAAAGAGGACAGCGGTGTTACAAGGCTATGAACTGGATGCCTCCAACATGGGCGGGTGGATGTTAGACAAACACCACATATTGGACATTCAGAATGGTAAGAAATAAACATGTATACAGTATGCATGTGTGTCTGCAGAGATAGGTAGCCTCTTTGGGTTACAGGCAGGTGGTCTTTACCCCGAATCACCGCAATAAATACTTGAATCAAAATGAAAGATGGTTCGTCATCCCATCTGCAGATAATAGAGGAGAGTTTTGAAGGGCCGATCATTCACAGTAATGACTGAATAAATCAGCGAGTAAGCCACCAGGGTGCAAGGCTTGCAACGATTCTACACCACTCAGCTATTTTAGGAAGAAGACGGCCTTTTGGCGCTCACGAAGGCTTACACTTTTGATGAACAGGCGTCATGTTTAATTCTCGCATTAATTCAATAAACTTAATTAATTTCTTGCTCTGTCATCAATCAGATTCTCTTTAATCGGCAAGTACAATAAATGGACATGAGTTTGTCTTTGTCGAGCTGCTGCACAGTTATGAGAAAGGGGAAACATACATAATGAAACTATCAAATATACCTACAGCAAAGTCACTGCTGGGTTACAGTACCAGGAGGTCACACTCTATAATCTGGAGATTTCAGCCAGCACACTATTAAGGGGTTTCAGTATGTTACTACTGTGGAGGCAGTAATATGACTGCAATTATAGGAAGTGTGCCTCAGGGCCTCAGGCTAGTGAGTGCATTGTCAGTTTGCCAGACTGCTGTTTTGACATTAAACCCACTTCGGCTCACAACCGTTGTTCCAGTTGTCCAACACAATTTGTGTCCTTTTCATCTCGAAAATAGTCGAGGTCAGTCCGTAGTCTCACACTGTCAGAGTGGAGTTGGTGAATACATATTTTGTTTTCATTTGAATAGGTTTTATATTTTTGTTTGGTTTTTTTGGCATAGAAAGCTGATCTTGGCTCATTTGGAAGTAAAATGAAGCATTTTTAAAATCCCTTGAAAAATGGATCTGTATAGTTAACAGAGCACAAACTCATATAAGATTCCTTTGTTTTGCCACGAGCAACAAGTGCATCTCAGAAAGGAAGTTACAGATTTGGTAAAGGTTTTATCACTTTCTTTTACCTAAACTAAACAGAATTGCTTTGAGGAAATGAATTGCACTTTTGCAATAAAATGTACATTCTTTTGGTGCAGAACAGGGTTTTTTTTTTTTTATTATATATGCTCATCAGCTAGGTGGGTGAAACTAATCAGTATTAATCCCTTCAAAACATCAGTAAGCACGTACTGTGCTAGTGATGGGTACCACTCTACAAACATCGCCCACTCAGAGGTCAGACTCTGCACTAACAGGTGTAAGTATTGAACTTTTATGATGAATTGTTCTTTACAGAGCTTTGTTTGAGCAGAACGAAAATTAATAACAGCGTAGAAAAACTTTTAGCCCTTTTTTTTTAGCTTTTATCAGGCCACTTGTTGGTTTTCAGATATATCATAGAGTTCCATCATGTTGAAAGAATGTCAGTAATGGCTGTCACTGATGCTTTAGATCATGTGCATTAGACTGAGTGTTTTTACAATGAAAATGTATTATCGTCCATCACATGCAAAGCTTTACATTCAATATTCTTCAAAGGCTTGGATCCTAAGAGCCACGACCTCTATTTTAAAATAATATGAATTTGTCAATATGATAAAAAATGTGTATAAGACACTCTGAGTAGCTCTATAGTGAGGTTGAACCTATAAATTATGACCATAGATTTAACAGCACACAGTTAAAAGATCTGTGTGGCTGTTTGGGAATTAAAAGAAACGGTTGTTTTTATGAGTGTCTGTGATTTTAATGCTAAATTTGAAAATGTAAAAATGCAGCATGTGCTGAACAGTTACATTTCTTAAGGTCTCTGTATCGCCACAGCTTTGATGTGTTGTGTAAGGAGGTTCACATGAGTTTTGGAGCCCCCTTACAAAGCCTCTGCAACCACCCAGCACTAAAGTATAAATCTGGTTCTTTCTTGTGCCGTTTTATCCAGATCCATCAAACTTTTAAGTGAACCACTCAGATTATTTTTGTGACCAGATATTTTGGCTACCAGAGGAGGGCTTTCTGTAAGGTGAAATGTTTGTGAACTCGTTTCTGCCTCCACAACTGGCAGGTACAGAACTATTCATCCCACAGCTACTCAGTGGGTTTGCACAGTAATATCATCCATGTGTTCTTCATATATATAACAGGCGACTCAGAAGTCAGAGATTGCGAATGTGTGTTTTGTCAGAAATGTTTGTGGAAAACATGTCAGAGAAGCAGTTTCTTTGTTCAATCCTTGATGGTACTTTGTCCTGCTTCTTTGTTGAACATTAAAAGAACAGACATAGAAACCCAATCTGTCAAGCCACCCGGAACCTGAAGTTTGTGAAGTGTGCAAAAGAACACTGAAATATGCTTCTAGCTCGACTGCTGCTGGTGCAATGCGTTTCATCCCACCTGTCTCAAACTATAGCACACCCATCTCCAAAGCCTTCAGAGTGGCAGCATGGAGTTGTTGTGAGATGCATTTGTGATAACAGATAAGTGCAGCATGTGTGATATGCTAATGTATGCGGCATCCTTTATTAGATTGAGCTGTACCGTGTGTCTGGATTTATCAGAAAATCAAACGTTACTGTGCATGAAAAATCATCATGTGCGGGCTTGTTTTTGTACATGGAAACAGTGATGACAGAAATAAAACAAGAACCAGATGGTGTTGAGTGTTTTCTTATGCAGTAAATGCTGCAGCCTCCCAGAGGCTTTTTCACACTTTTCACTTGTCCTTTTACAACGGCGCCCTGAAAATATTCGCAAAAACTGACTAAATTTAAAAGATTCAAAAATAGCAAAGTCGTGTTGTTTTGTCTCATTGATTCCTGTCTGACAGGAGCAATCAATTTGCCGAAAGGGTTTCATGCTCCAATCCTATTAGCTCACCCCAAAGACGGTGTGCTTGGTAAGCCTGTGAATTGTTTTTGTTAGCGACTTTGGCATGCTAGTTTATGCAGGGTTCACATCAAAGTGTCAAAAGCCAATCTGTAAACATATCTATGTTTGCGCTCACATTAATTGTTTTTACAGAGGTAGTGAGTCGGCACCTAGTCCTGCCTTGAATTCCCTTAAATTTTCTCAGTACAAACTGAATTATTCAGTCTCGCATTCAGCTACTTTTTGACATTTGAGATTTATAGCTCATGTGGGTTTTTGGGCAAGGAATGCAGTTCGATATCCTCGGTCAGCATGAAGATGAATCCAAATATCACTGTTTGCCTTCATTGCTGCTCCAGTATTGATTCTTTAATGCTGTAAACCTTGACTAATGTCCTCACCCAACATGCTAGCAAGTGGTGGTCCTCTGCAGCCGCACAGCGGTTTAGCTCCAGACATTTGCTATCGGTCTTTGTTGTGACTCTTGCTTCATTTTTGCACTACTTCTAACATCTGAGCACTTTTTATCTCATCGTTTGTGTCAAAAGACCCAAGCAAAAAGCCCTCTCCGTCTCTGCCTCCACTCCAGTGCCTGTCAAACTAGATAAGGCAAATTGCTGGTGTCTGTGCTTTAGTCATGTCCTCCTGCCCCTCCTTTCTTCGTTACAAGTGGATAGCCCTTCCTCTCAATCTGCAGTTTGTCTCTATCTAGGGTAACATAGCTGATTCTTATTGGACACAGCCAGGGTTCAGCAATTCAGTATCTCTGAGTATACTTACTGTACAGCTCACGCACATGCTGCATTTGAAGCACCGAGATGTTTCCTGCCCACTTTTAGCCTCAATCAGGATCAGTGGGAGCCTCGGTGCTATCTCTGAGAATGACACTGTGCAAAGGAGAGTAGAAAAGGACAGGGTGCAATTAAGACGCACTCCCTCGCTTCCCCTACGAATCTCTGTACTCTCTATGTGTCACCAAGGTGACATTGCTAAGGGCGCTCCAATTTTTTTTCTTTTTTTTCCTTTTCTTTTTTCTTTCAGGTACAGAGGCTTGGCCTCACATTTGTACCATTAATCATCTCGAAAGCTGTGATGTTGACATTAAAGAATTTTTTTTACCACTACATGCCTCAAATGAGCCTTTTATCAAACAAATTATTACCTTCTATAATGAGTCCAAAGAAAGAATCAATTCAGTTTGTAGGTGGAACAGTATTGTGTGTAGAGAAGAATTATAATTTCTATATACGGGCAGAAGGCAAAGTTTGTAAAGATGACATTCTGGTCCTTGCTCAAATATTCCTGTAATAACTCCTCTTCTTCTTCTGCTTATTTTTCCACTTTATTTTCTGTAAGAGAACATAGCCTTCATGGTTTCTCCACTTTTCATTCACTATAATTTATCATTATACACATTCATAGTTTTGATTGTTTTCTCTGTTTCTGCTATTATTTGGGAAATTCTGTGTTAATCCTGGAGTCTAACTGTGTCTGACTGTTTAGTAATGTGGTAAATGCTGCGTGACATGCGGTTACATTACATTATGGTTATTTGCTTGTTGGATGGAAGAGTGTTGGAGTGATCTTGGAGCAAGAGAGATAACAGACTCTCAGACTTTATAAAAAAAAAAATTAAAAAAGCTTTTTTTTTTTGTCCCATTTTGCCAAGTGAAACAGTGATTTCTCTTTCACCAGCTTCTATCCAGAATTTGAAACACGCCTCCACATATTCGTTTACTAATCAGGGAGCAGACACAATCCTAACGGCTGAGCCGTTCTGCTGCCATACTTATATTTTGAGTCTCCTCTGCAAAATCTGTCGAGGGAGCGCTTTTCGTCTTTACACTTCAGCAAAGTTTTCTTGCTGCAGAAACTGTATACTCTCCTTGTCTCAGTAGCGGGAACTTATTTCTAAGAAAGTTTTTATTTACAGTATTTCTTCCAAACTCAGAGCACAGTAGAGTAAAAGCATGAAATATTTATGGACATATGCTTATGAACTCTAAAGCCATTTTAGTCTGGACACTGTAGGAGTCCCCTTATTCGGCCTGGGGCAGTAGACAGTCAGAAGCCAAATTCCCATCAGTGCAGCTCTCCAGCTGAGACTTCACAAGCTTGATCCTTGCAACAATCATCAGCAGTAATGTGTCATGACCAAGTGCCCTTGAGGGAAGAAAGCTGCACCTTAATCTGCTCTTAAGTTAGAGGCAGACATTGTGTATGTGAGAAAATCATAGCAAAAGGATATACGATGGTATGCGAAGTGATAGTTTGGGGGGTAGCGGATGATTGATAAGTATATTTAATCCATTCCATTACACTGACTTATAGCTTATGGTAAGACTTATGTATACAGTAATCTGTGATGGAAGTGTAAATAAGAGAGGACCACAGTGGCGTGCCAAAACGACCTTAGCATTCTTCTTTTTCTTTACTTATTTATTTATTTTTGGCTCAATAGCTGTACCGCTGCAGCTGATCTACGTCCTACACACTGCGGTACATCTTAGATATTAAAAATGTCTTTGTCTTTTCTGGGAATGTTAGGAAGTTATTACACAAACAGACATTAAAATTCTAGTCAGATTACATAGTTTATTTGTTATTTGTGGCTCTGATTCGGGGTGCAGCCAAAACCTTTCAGTTCACTGAGTGTTTTCATCACACTGTGTGTTTTATTCAGTGAGCAGACGCATGGATCACAGTTCAATTAAAGTCCCAAGGTCGTGCATTTGATGGCGTCACACGTAAAGCCTTCCCACGGACCTATTTGTCTTTGTTAGAGGCTCATGTATAATGCTTTCGGATACAAAAGACAGATTGGTCAGATCGTCCTGTCAGAGTCTCGCCAGACCGTGCCTTCATTTGAATTTGTCCTTCAATCAATTAAATCAATGAAAGGAACTAATCAGAGAAGGGACAAGCAGCGTGGCTGCATACTTGATTTCCCATACATCCAGGGTTACGATGGCTTATGGTACAGCGCTGTGGGAGAACGACATCATGCGACCATTCAGAGGTGTCATAGATCCACTAATTAGGACAGAGGCAGTGTGAATTCACACAAGTTGCTGGATGTGAATAATTAAGTGCTTCCAGCATGCACTTCTTCCCTTTGATGTTTTTTTCCCCTTTGAAGAGAGTCCCACTATATCAGCACCCTTTAAAAAGCCAGTTATAGCTGCCTCTTGTTAAAATATTAATCTTTAGTGACTCACCAAATACGGTGAGTCCTTAGTGAAAGGCACTATTATTAGGGGGTGGTGCACTGCACTGTATTTATGTCTACCGCCTCTCTGTGACTAGAGGAGAGCAGGATCCCTGTTAAGTTAAAAGAAAATTATTTTACATAATGTATACTTCAGCTTTGCGGAGGGTTTCAAGGAACCCACTAAAACAGCTGTAGAGCATTTCCCAGCATTGAAGTATTAGGTTATATCAGTTAAAACAATGATTAAGGCTAGTTCCCCGTGTGCTGCCTTGACTCCCTGAACTATTTAAATCAGATTGCCTGAGTTTTATGCAGTATAAAAGAAACCACAGTCATTTGGACTATAATTTGTTACCTCTCATTTAAAAATAAACAGCAGTTTGTTCTGAAACATAATTTTCTGATGGCTTATGCAGAGTACTTTAGATCATGAATTTGAAAATTATCTTTGCACATTCTCTTTATGTTTATACTGTTATGAAATGTGCGATGTTCCCTGTGTTAGGTCTAGTGAGCTTAGCAAAGATGCTGCAAGCTGAAGTAACAAAAACACACAGTGCCACCACTGTTCTTTCTCTTTATTAATTAGACATAATATTAAAAGTTAATTTAAAGTAAGTGTGAGTCTTTATGTCAAGCTAATTACCTCTTAGTTCCAGCTCTGTAGTTAACACCAAGCATGTTACCTAGAATGGTGAACAGTTCCTTTAAATACATTGTTTTAGCAGATTTGAACTACTTTATATTTCTGTTTTATCTGGATTTGTCTGGCTAAATTTTCAATCCTGTAAATTAGTGTTGTTGGGTTTTTTTGTTCTTTTTTTCCCCTTCAGGCATACTTTACAAAGGGAGTGGGGAGAACCAGTTTATCTCTCTCCAGCCCCCTGTGATTTCCACTGTTATGGGGAATGGACGGCGTCGAAGCATCTCGTGCCCCAGCTGTAATGGGCAGGCCCAAGGCAACAAGCTCTTGGCACCGGTGGCTCTGGCATGGGGTATTGATGGAAGCCTGTATGTGGGAGATTTCAACTACATCCGCCGTATCTACCCATCTGGCAATGTCACAAGTATCATGGAGCTGAGGTGAGGCTCATTTGTATGGGTTTTGTAATGCGCTAGACAGTTTACAAAGTCTGTCATGTATTATGCAACAACATATTAATTTCAAGATTTAACTGTTAACCCTTGAATTTATTAAACATAACTAAACTTGAATCTTCATTTACGCAAACGGATAAATAAAAAACTGCATATGCATCGTCCACATTTTTATAAGAAGAAGCCACATACTGTACCCGACCCCAAAAGTGTGAACGAGAATATGGATCCCACATTTGTTCGGCGTGGAGAGGGAGACTGAAAGGGCATGGTGGACAGATTTTCAGTCACACAAATCTTTCCCCTGGCCGTAGAAATTTGAAATCTTTTACCAATCCATCTCCATAATTAGGAAAGACATCCTGTCTTCAGCGTGTAATTGGGATGATTTACGCTCTCATGCCAAGTTGGCTTTTCACAGCAATGACTCTGATTCGGCCAGTTGGCTTATTTCAGAGTAGCAGATGTTGATTAAATGTACATTGGACCGTCACCCTCCATGAGACACATACATGACAAACATATGAAAACTGCCTTAAGAGGACCAAGGTCACCACACTGTTGGCAGGTGGTGTTCATGCACTGATTTGGGAGTTAATATTAGGGTTACAAGGGTGAATGATTCTTTAAAATCTAAGATGAGCAAGTGGTTTGGGCGAAAAAAGAAAAAAAGCCACCAGAAATGAGTCAATATACCTGCACAGGTATAGTTTAAGACAGCATAGCTGTTGTGTTGGAAAGTATAAAATAATATAGATGGGAAAAACGTGTAATGCAGTAAACAAGCATGCATGCTCAGCAGCCCGTCACTAGATAAATAATACTTTAAGAAATGGTTTATGACTCTAAGCAACTATTTTACTCTGTTTACGGGAAGAGGAGCATAAAACACTACACTGAAGACTTGTGTTAGCCTTATTAAATTTAGTCTGACATAAGGAAAAGCAATGTCTGTGTTCACAATAGATGGCAGTTGCAATACATAAACCGCATAAACCAGTGCAGCAGGTGAAAGTCCATGTTTCTTTGCCTAATGTGTGGTATCATTCATAGCTTGGAGAAACAGAAGCAGCTGAGTTCGCTTATTTAGAATTTGCTGTTCTCTCTCAAGCATTCAAAAACCAAAGTGGGTTGAGTTTCCGCTACGTGTCATGCAAGTTTCCTTGGTAACAGTACAAAAGTTATTCCCTCAACCTTTTTAAGTAAAGTGCAACATCTGTGTTGAGATTCTGCCTTCAGCGGTCAGTGTAGCAAAGGGACAGAATCAATATTTCAATATGTGAGGTTAAAATTGAGAAATCCAGTGGTAATGGAGGATGATCGCAAGAGTGCACGCTTTCCTCTCTGCGTCTACTTTCTGCCAAACTGTCACTGACTTTCTCTAGTGGCTTTGTTGACTTCAATGAGACTACTTTGCACTCCTGTTTGTTTGTCTTTCTTCCTCTAGTAGACTGTGTGAAGAAAAATGCTATTTTTAAGCTTGTTTTAGTGCAAATCTTGCTTTTAATTAGCAATAAAATAGTCAAGCCTGATTCATTCCTATGATTAAGTAACAAAAAAAGAAAGAATAATTGAGTAAAAACTTGAAAATCAAACTATCCCTTCAAGATGTACCAGTTTCATTGTCTTTTTCCTCTTTTTCTGCTTCCTTTGCATCCTATCATAGAAATAAAGACTTTAGACACAGGTAGGTGTATTGTCTTAGTGCATGTTTTGTTGTTTTCTTTCTGCATGTCATCATCCTTGTAAATATATGAATAACCTTCCCCTTTACAGTCGTCTTTAGCAGCAGTGATTATCATGTATAATTGTAACAGAACAATTATAGCTTGATTACATCTCAGCAAGATAAAGAGTGCACCGACTGTCAGAATTAGTGATTATTGACATAGTGTAAAACATTCAACTTTCATGCAAGTAATCACTACGTGTGACGCAGTCCAACTCGGAGCGCTGCAATAAACGGTATCATTGTGAAGCTTATGATTACATTTCCATCTGACAGATGTTCTCTTGTAGAGGGACTTACACAACTGCTTTGTATTCCTGATTAAGACAACAGCACTCTATCAAGCAAAGCTACGGAACACATTTCATACATTCCACTGGTGTAAGAGCAGGATTATGGAAAATGCGTGTGTGACTTTTTATATGAATTTAAGATTAATTTGCTTAACTCACCTGGTGGGCTTTAATTCTGTTTTACTTCTTGAATTCAGATTCGCTGTGTTTCTCATTTCAAACACTTGGCAGAGAGAAGGAGGGATATGTGGAATGGCATTTACAGATAAACCTAAAAAAAAGAAGAGAGAGACAAGAGTCGGTTATAAATAAGGTAAAACAAAAAGGCAGTGAAGGGAGCATAGAGGCAGAGTGACGTGAAAGTCTTGACACCACAAGAGCTGCTGAATACTGGATCAGTCAGACAAATCAGATTGCCTGCAGAACAATGCCAGCTACCAAGAGTTTGTGATAGTTTCATCAGAGGATGACTACCACCTGCGCTTGCACCTGGGACAGGTACGGTGAAACTTTTGAGCTACAGGGGAAGATGAATAATTTGAGAACAGACACAGTCACTGGTTAATCCTATAGTCAAGCAGCAGCTTTTTTACTGTTGATGGCCTTGGCACAAATGATACAATTTTATCACAAACACTGGGCAAATCCTTCACAACTTACATTTTTAAAGGAAATGACCAAATAAGCTTCACACAGGTAATATTTATTATATGACCGTTTGATTGGGCTGTATAACACCATACTGGTGTCTCCGTTATTACGCCCACCCCCTGAAGATTGACTGTAAAAGAAAGGGTTACTAATGTTTAACTTGTTGAATTCTTTATGGAACTTTGATAGCAGCCACCTATTTAGGGCATTTACTTTGACTCATAATAGCTGTCAAATTTTACGACTCCATCTTCATCATTTTACAAAGATGTTTCATTGCCACATTTATTTTGCCGTCACATTATCCACTTCCATTGCCGGCCAGCATTGAGAAAGGTACCATTAAGCTGGAGCACAAGCAGAGAAGCCATGTTTACGACTGCGCTGTAAAGCACTCGCTTTTTCATGTTAACTGCCTCTGTTGTATGTATCCATCCTGCCTTAACTGTAGTTCTTAAATATGTCGAGTTTTTTAAAAATGTGACAGTAAATCACAGTTTTGATAGCTTCTTTTTTAAACTATAAATACCAGTCGATAGTGTGTTGTAAATTCGTTTGATTCTTTGTCCCATTATGTGACAATTGAATGCAAATAGAAACAAGAATTCATTAGTAGTTGCATGTTGTTAACATAAGCCAGTCATTTCTGTATTTCCAAAGGCTTCTTCCCACAGGGGAGTGATAGGAAATGAAATGATCTGCTGCACAAGTTGTCAATTTGTGCTTTGTACACCGAAACCCCACTGCAGTGGTATCCTGTTGAATTTTGTTTGACTCCCATCTATTCAACCTTCTCTCTGTTTCCACTCTTTCATCCTCAAAGGCTCTGCTCTTCTTTCACCGTTATGGAAATTTCTCACAGTTTCTTGCAAAATTCAGAATAAACATTGTTTCTTGCTACCATTTACTTTACATGCACATGACAATTTTTGCTATCTGGGTCTTAAGGTTTGTAATTTATGCAACAACTGGACCGAACAAAGTTACACTTAATTAGGAAATGAACACTCTGTATCACTGGTACTAATTAATGCCACTACACTTAAGATATATACTTTAATGTACTGCCTCTTGGATGTTCTGAAAGTACTTTCTACCTATACTGCATATACACCTATGCATACAGATGAAACGACTTGAGAAATTCACTGTGCTTTTCATATTATTCTTAACTCTTAATGGGGGGGGGGATTTTCAGAGAGAAAAATCTGGCTAAATTTCATCAGGGTTTGCTGAAGTTTAGAGGTAGATTGAGGTATTTCAGATATTAAGGCTTCGATCACATTTTAGGAGCAAATTGTTGCCATTAAAGTACAATCTGGCTGGACTGTTAGAAAAAGGCTTTTAAAGAAAAAACCTTTCTCCAATTACAGTATATAACTGAGTTATCATCTTGAATGCAGTAACAACCCAGCACACCGGTACTACCTGGTGACTGATCCAGTGAGCGGCCAGCTGTATGTGTCGGACACAAACTCCCGGAGGATCTACCGACCGAGAACTTTGGCTGGAAGCAAGGATCTGCCGTCAAACGCAGAGGTGGTAGCGGGAACCGGCGAACACTGTCTGGCATTTGATGAGGACCACTGTGGCGATGGCGGCAAAGCTCCAGAGGCCTCTCTCATTGGACCCAAAGGTATAATTTAAAACTAATGAAGATACTGTATTCAAATGAAGGGGCTGAACACATTGATGAGTTTCTCATTCAGGAGTGGCATCTGCTAGATTTAAACTTGTGCTTTGGGCTCTGTGCCAAGAACCGGCTCACTGATTTTAATGAATGAAATTTGGTTGCGATTCATGTGTTATCAATTCAGATTACTTCCATACAACTAAGAAAAACAGAGATGCTTTGTTAATTAAGGCTCTGCACTGCTGCTCCCAATCAAAAAAGTTGTTGCAGAACTGGTTTTGAATATTTGTATATTGCTTTTAAAATCCTTAGAATTATTACTTTGTTTCTTAAAGAGGCTTTTTTTTCTCCCACAAAAAGCTCCTGCTGTCAGAAACCCACTCTACACAACCTGTTGTCCACATTCAAATATCACATGGTCATTAGTGGCGTGATTGCTCACTTTTCCATAAATTCTTCTGGAAGAAAAGGCAAGGATGAATTGTTGTGCACTAGTCGTTGCCCGCTCTGAATGCCAACTGCAATAGCTCAGCTTCAGCTGGGTGATAAAGGCTTGAGCGGAGGCAATCTGAGGGAGCGACTCTAATGATGGAGTGGGTGGAAGCCGGGACCATAGAAGAAACAGCAGATGGCTCCTTTTTTTCTCCTCTCAGACATGTGCTGAACTCTGCTCAAATGTGACACTTTTCATCTGTCTGAGAATCTCAGACTGTCAAATAGCCAGCTCCCAAGGATTCACCGTGGGCTCCCTCGGCTCATCAATGTTTTAGCAGAAAGCAATCTTGTGCAGACCTAGCCACAGGTCAAACCAAATCACTCACCTTCCATAGAAGCTTTTAAAGACTTCATTGAAAAAGAAATAATACTCTGGAGGTAGAAGTGAAGTTATAGTATGTTCAGACCGGTAGAAGTCCTTCAGAAAACTATAGATCATGCTAATTACAACATCCTGAAATCTCAGAAATTAAATTTAAATTGTAAATAGAAAAGCGCAGAACATTTAAATCTCTGAATGTGAGGTATGGCCGAGGTCTCATATTAAACAGCACAGTGGCATGGAAAGTGATGTGGAGGCTTGCATAGTCTGTTAATGTATTTTCCCAGTTTGGGACAAATGGTTATTGCAACTCCACACTGGCTTGGCTCCAGCTTACGACTCTGAGCTGACTCTCAATCACCGAGACAATTTAGTCCACAGTTGTCACCGAGGCAACTGCCTGTCTTTCACCTCTTTCATCCAAAACTGTCTAAAGCTGTCATTTTCATTCCCCTGCTTATTTATTTCTCAAATGGTGTGCAGATTGTTGATGATTGCCGACGTAAAAAAAAAAATCTCCACAAAGCACCATTCATTGACATCCCTACCTCCCGAGGTCTCTTTTGGACAGGAGGGTTACAAGACAAGGCAAAGTGCATATATACCGTATGAATACAGCCTTTCCCACTTCTGCCTGTGAAATTATTTAATAGCAGAAAAGCAGACTGTGAATTATTGATGGCTTTGCTTTTTGCAGTGACCTGAATAATGGGAAGGCAAGCTTGACACATGTATCCATCGTGTTCTGTCCACTGAGTCATGCAGGCATAGATGCAGCGTATCTACCATGTTTTTTTTTTCCTGTTATCACAAGCTTTTTCCTTTTTCACTTCTCTTCTCCATTCTCTCCCTCTCACCTGTTTTCAACAGGCATTGCAGTGGACAAGAATGGGCTGATTTATTTTGTTGATGGCACCACAATCAGAAAAGTGGACCAAAACGGCATCATCTCCACTTTCCTCGGTTCGAATGACCTGACATCGGCTCCCCCGCTGACCTGTGACAATAGCATGGACATCAATCAGGTGACTTAAACACAGAAGTGCCAGCCGGTTCTTAGTATGACCAGTATGGGGCACCCATCATTGTACCCCTTCAGTATAGTTACTGACATGTGTTGTTTGACTGCTCTGTATGATATGCTGTATAACTGCATACTGTACATGCACTATGACTACTGGTTTTCAAGAGAGCGCTCTGTACAAAGGCATGTTTCCTTTGCCAAGGGCAATTCTTTGTGTGTGTCAGTAAGCAGGACTAAGCAAAAATTATGAAGCTGTGTTTCATGAAAACGTGTTGTAGAGGTGGAGAATAAGAAAAGGACACATTCAGTTTTTGTGGAGAAAAATGTGAAATAGGGCATTAGCCTTGGCAGTGTCCTTCTTCTTTTTTTTTTACTTTTTTTTTTTAACCTCAGCATCTATATTATTATCAAGAATCCTCCAAACTCTTAGGTAAAATAGCTTTTTTACATGCAGCTCGCTCTTCCTGGAACCTTTTGCAATTAAATTTGAAATTGCAAAAACTGCTCTCTTTCAGGGAATGGAAATCATTGCTGTGGAAAGTGTATGCACTCTTCTGGCTGCTAATATTTGGTAGTATATTAGAATCTGGATGTTTTAGCATAATTCATTTATTATTTGATGGCATTAAATCAGTCTTATTTGTGCTGGTGGTTTTAGATTGCCACTTAGGCTGTGTCTGTTTTTCACAGATGTAATCTTTAAAATTATTCTTACTGGGAACTTTCTTCATGGTTTAATAATTCTGTTTTTGTTTTATTCTGCAGTTTTGAGTTATTTTGTGTCACCTGCTCTGTGATGTGGTTCTGTAACATTTTAATTACAGCATCTTGGTCAGGAGACTTGGATAAAGAGGAGACTTTAAATATATGTACAGTTCCCGTTTATACAAATCAAAACAGTAAGATCAGTGGAATAAATTTACATTCCTAGAACACCAACATTATGAGGTGCTTGCTGAAGAAAGAAAGAGAAGAAGAAAATGCTCCTGTTTTCTGGCTCTCTCTCGCTCTCTTTGCACTCAATCCAACACGAGCAGAGCATTTTCTCTGAAAGCACAGGAGGAAAATGTGTGCTAGGAGGAGGATGGGATTTTGCAGGAAGTGGAAACATGAAGTGTTTATTGAAGAGATGAGTTTTCAGGTCACGGCAGAAGATATGGAGGGAAGAATAATTACTCAGTTTGGGGGGCTTGTTTTGATGTGGCTGGAGCTGAATTAGTGTTTAGTGTTCCACTAGAAATTCTCAGCATTGAGGACACTTACACCGCACATGATAATGAAGCAGCACTCGGTAGCAGGCTTGCTGCACATAAAACCTTTTCTTTGGCAGTACCTGAGGAGGGCCGGCTTTGTCCGACAAAATTTACTGCCTACCCGGGGTGACATAAAACCAGCACCCTGTCCCTACGCAATAGGTTAAAGAATTACAATACCATGACACCTCGTGTGCAGATTCCCTTGCTTAAACATTAATATCTTTTCTCATCTGGCTCCTTTATTTATGAAGAAAAATAAAAACCCCAAAAAAGCCTTTTATCATATGAAAATACAGGCATTCACATCCTCTTCTATACCCTGCTTCTGCAGAAAGTGAATTCTGAAGCGAACTACATAAGCAGCCCGAGATGTGAATAGAAGAGTTTTTAGAGAACCAGTAAGCAGCAGATTGGTAAAGCTAATGGTTCAGGAAACAACTTTGTGGGTCCATGACACTGTCCATAATAGAGTCCTTTGAATTTGACCTGTCTACTGTTAGTGGTTTCTTGCAAGCCAGCCCAAAGTGTTTTCTTCTTGTTCCTTTTAACTAACCAGATTTACATTTTGATTAGATTCCTAATGTTTTAATCTAGACCGGCTTACAAAAAGGCAGAGTACAAGGCTACAAACCAAACATGGCAATGGAAATTATCTACATTCACAACCAAAATAACTCCAAGAACAGATATCGCAAGTGGTGTCCTATTAAGAGGTTAGATAATAAGAGAAACACATTTGAGTTTGGGAGAAAATAAAATGGCGTTTAAGGCAACTTAAGAACATTTTTAACATAAACAGAAGAGAAAGCAATCAGTGTTTATGTACACGCGTGGGTGGTGAACATGAAGCGGGTGAACATAAAAGAACATGGGGACAAAGGATTAAGCTTGTCACTTTTTGCTAATTAACCAAGTCATTTGGTGTAAGCCAGTAAAAACATGGTTTTGGCGAGACTGTGTGATCTTCAGGCATCCAAGCTAGAGAAGTGGCTCAGTGCAGTTTTACTTCAGGCAGCCTCAAAGGCATCATGTTTTATTATTAATCACCCTGTGGAAAAGCACAATTCAGGAGTGTTTTGACAGTTTTAATGACACAGTTATGTATTTGAAGGCCAGACCAGTCATTTGTGCTGTTATAAATAAGCTTTTTATTCAATGACACATTTCTGACAAGGAGACTGTAATGGCTGGCTGTGGTTTTACAGTAGTTTTTGGATCATTATATAAACCTATTATTATTGCAAGACATGGTTAATAATGATGTCACTTTAAATGTATGAATTATTTTTTAATTTTATTTATATTTAATCTGCTATATTAAATTCATTACCCAGTCCCAGGTTGAAGAGCTCAGAGCTAATGTTATATCCCTTAGGTATTCATTCTCCTGGCCCATTAATATCATATGGTTTGTTCCAAGTTTGGGGGGAAAAAAATAATAGAATGAGAGCTAATCCTTCCTGCATCAGCGATATATCTTAAAATCATCACCAAAAAGCTGATTAAAAAAGTATATTTCAGCTGTGTAGATCTAAAACCCTTTATGGGAAAACGAGGTGATGTCACTGTGTGCTGAATGCAAAGGGGTGTCACATAACTACAGAATTGCACAAATGTATTTTCTGCTAGGACATCATTCTTTTTGGACAATACCAACCATGTAAACTTAAAATTCGTTTTACTGAACAGTACTTAATGTCCACATGTAACTCAGTTTAAGAGGCTCATCAGATTTGCTTGACAGATGGTCAAATATTTTCAGAAATGCCCTTCCCCTACATCTTTTCACTATCGATTTATGCACTGCTGTGTCTGTGCAACTTTCTGAGACTGACAATCCGCTGTTCAAAGCTAACTGTTTGAAGGTCAGAAAGAGGTCGGGGCTTCAACTCCTTTTTATCTAAGTCTTCATTCTTGGTACAACTTCGGCTCCTAATTAGAACAGACTCGAGAACTTTTTTATTTAGTGTGTGTGTGTTGGCATACCAAGAATTCTTTGTGGCTTCAATCTGCTCCTGACACATACTGTGAAAAACATACATAAAGTGCATTCTTATATACAAAAGAAAGATAATTACTATGGTAAGAGCAAGGAAGTAACACTATAAATGTCAATGGAGAGAAATTGTCTGAAAATGTATACTGATGTACTGATGGGTAACATTGTCATTAAATGGGCTAATCTACTGATACCTGTATTTCAGGTGATTTTGGAGTGGCCCACAGACCTAGCAGTTAGCCCAATGGACAACTCGCTGTATGTTCTGGACAACAATATAGTGCTGCGCATTTCAGAAAATGGTCAAGTCAGCATTGCAGCTGGCCGACCTAACCACTGCCCATTGGCTGGACTGGAGCGGGGAGTGGCTGGTGGTCAGAGGGCACAATTAACCCCTCTAGAATCCGCTGTTTCCATTGCCATATCTTACCATGGTACCATCTACGTAGCAGAGACAGATGAGCGAAAGATGAGCAGGATCCGGAAGGTTTCTGTGGATGGTGAGATAACGCATTTGGCCGGGGCTCCCTCCGACTGCGATTGCAAAAATGATGCCAACTGCGACTGTTACCAGACAGGGGATGGTTATGCCAAAGATGCAAGGCTCAATGCTCCATCTTCTTTAGTGGCAGCTCCAGATGGAACACTCTACGTGGCAGACCTGGGCAACATCCGCATCCGGGCCATCTCTAGAAACGGGCCAACTTCCAGTGCCAATACATACGAAGTGGCTTCCCCTGATGCCCAGGAGCTGTATGTGTTTGACAGCAATGGTACCCACCAACACACTGCAAGCTTGCTGACTGGTGACTTGAAATATACTTTCAGCTACAGCACAGAGAATGACATCACAGCTGTTACTGACAGCAGTGGCAACACTCTGAGAATTCGTAGGGATCCCAATCGCATGCCGGTGCGTATCGTCGCACCTGATAACCAGGTGATCTGGATGACCATGAGCACCAACGGTGGATTGAAGACACTCACAGCACAGGGTCAGGAGCTGGTACTTCTTACGTACCATGGCAATAATGGGCTGCTGGCTACAAAGACATCAGAGATTGGCTGGACAACATTCTACGAGTACGTATGATAGCAATTGGCAAGAACATTTTGTGGAAACCTTTCTGTGATTGCTATATTGAGTTGGGTTGCTTTTAATTAAGCTTTCAGAATATGGAAACAGCCCATAATTATGATTACACACAGTTGTAATCATCATGAAGTAAAAGACAAGTATGTTTGCCACATATGTTCTTGAATGTGTGTGTAATGCTGTGCATGGTCTCTCTCATCTCACAGCTTAGTACAACTTTACTCTATAATTGGGAACCACAGTTACCTGCGAACTGCTTTAGGGTGCACATTTAATTGAAATCTAATTATAAAATTTGCCTCAGATAGCAAAATAGCCTAGTTTGACTTCAGTATCTCATTGCAAATTAAGTGTTTTATTCTTTTACTGAACCGTGTTTAATGATGTTGTAGGTGACAGTAGTGATGGTGACATTAGTGTGTTGGGTTAACAGGCACACTTTAAAAGCAAAATGACCTGCACTGTATTTCATTATTTATTATTCCATAATGACCGGGCTTTGTTTTGGTAGCATGGGCTACCAGAGATTGATTTTCTTTCTCCCTTGTCTAATTTGCTGTCATGTCACATTATGCCATGAATGATATCCTCACTACAACTAAAAAAGCAGAATTCAGTTAAGATTATAATGGCACATCAATCATCCAAATAATTGAATTCATTACAAGTCTCTGTAATTTTTTTTATATGAACGTGATAGCTGATGAGATGTGTCACTCTCCCATATTAAATATTTGGATTTTGCCTAGGGTTTATACAGACATGCCTTCACTTATGCTCAGGAAATTGAACATGTGACATTTTAATTACAAGAAAGTCGATGGTTTTACTCAACGAGCATAAAAGAGCTGATAATTGAATGCACTGTGGCACTATGAGAGCCCTCATACATATCAATGCTTTGTCATTCGATGTTCTTTTTGTCAACCAGCTATGACAGTGAAGGACGCCTAATGAATGTGACGTTTCCCACTGGAATGGTGAATAACTTGTACACGGACCTATACAGCGCTTTGACGGTGGATATTGAAAGCTCCATGACAGAGGAGGAAATCAGCATCACAACAAATACCTCAATTGTCCGTGCCTTCTACACTTTGGCTCAGGGTAAGGCCTCGAATCGCATCATCCCAGCTCAGTTGGCTATTTTGTAAGTTGTTATTTGTCATTGTTCCAGGGGTCGGCGGGGCCATGTTGAGTAAGCTGAAGTCGTGTATCATTACGAAAGCCTGACAGACGACAGTGTAAATGATTACTCTCTCAGTGTGTGGGTTTGGGTGTCAGGGAGATGTATCAACCTTGTAACTAAGTGGTTTCTGCGCTCCGCCTGAGCCAGATGGCCCAGTTATTTTAGCACGTCATCCATGATCGTTCTTCATTTTAAAATGTACTAATTTGAAATGCTAAGAACTTGTAGCATCTTCACAGACAACCATTGATCAACCCAGAAGACTGTTAGCATCAGTTCCAGTGTGTAACTGCCTCAAAAGTTTCACTTTTTGTCTACTATCAACAGACCAGTGTAGAAGTAGCTACCAAGTGGGGTATGACAATTCGCTCAGGATTACCTATGCCAACGGGATGGACACCCACTACCAGACAGAGCCCCACATCCTGGCAGGCGCTGCCAACCCGACTGTAGCCAGACGCAACATGAGCTTGCCAGGGGAGAGTGGGCAAAACTTGGTAGAGTGGCGCTTCCGCAAAGAACAAGCCAGAGGGAAAGTTATCGTGTTTGGACGCAAGCTGAGGGTATGTTAAGGCTTTTCTTTAACTTTTTTTTCCCTTGTAGCACGTTTAGATAATCCAACCAACTTACTTATGCAAAATCCAGATCAAACTGTCCAAATTCATATTGGTGCCTGTGTCTCTGTCCTTATTATAACCTTGGAAAATATTTCTGCACTCTTTTCCTTCAATAGAGATTTATCAGTCACAACATTTACCCTGATGTAGAGGGTTATCAATATTCTAGTACTGTACATGACTCCTCCTTTTCTTACTCCTGCTTCCTAGAATCTGACACGGGTCTTATGATTTAAGGCACTTCATGAACTTAACTTGGGTGGTTACTTTGGCTCACGGTAATTTTTTGTCTCCACTGAATTTAGGAGGTTGTGATTTAAGTGTACCTGAACGATCGCCAAAGTGTCTCTCAGTTTAATGAGCCTCGTGAAGGAGGTGTTAATCTCTGTGACAACTGTAGTAAAAAAAAAAAATCTATGAATACAGTTTAAAGAGCCATCCTGACAAAGACCAGTGATATCAAATCAAAGTATTTGTTCTTAAATTTGTACTGTTGTATAATCAGTCCTCATTTGTTATTTTCAAGCATCAAAACTATATTATCACTAGTTTTAGGAGAAGTTTTATTTATTTAGAATTTTTTGGTCTAACCCAATTTTAACTTGATTTTTTTTTTCACCCCCACAGGTGAACGGACGGAACATTCTTTCCGTTGATTATGATCGCACCCTAAGGACAGAGAAAATTTATGATGACCACAGGAAGTTCCTCTTAAAGATTATTTATGACACCGCAGGACATCCAGTTCTCTGGGTACCCAGCAGTAAGCTGCTCCCAGTTAATGTCAGTCGCACAAGCAGTGGGCAGATCAGTGCCCTGCAGAGAGGTCCTACCACTGAGAGGCTTGAGTATGATAGCCAAGGCCGCCTGATTTCCAGGGTGTTTGCTGATGGGAAGATATGGAGCTACACCTACCTAGAGCAGGTAAGAAAATAACATGACTAGAGGAAGCAATATGTAAGATGCATTGTACAGCAGGCTTATCTGCATATATCACTACAGGGCGAGTCAAGCCCCTAACATAACATTATTTTACAAGAAAAATCAGCTACAATTTGCCAAGTACCAGAGCTTATTATAGAGGGACTAGGCAATGAGTTTGTCGTTTATAAGCTTTAGAATTAAAAATGTCCAGTTGGTTTCCCTGCACAGGACAATCTGGCACTTCCATCTGTAACTACCATCCTATAACTCAACCCAGTCATCAAAATTCTGGGAGCAAATAGACATGAAATGACTTAGTGATACTGCATTCTGGATAGAGTCAATATGCAATAAAACAGTATACTCTTTAAATTGCTGTCTGTCTTACCAAGGTTCCACCAGTGAAAAAAATGCTGGGAGGCAATATTTATGTTTAATATTGTCCACAGTCTCTACAGTAGCAGTAACAAAATATGTACACTATTCCAAGGCCAGTGCTCAATTTTGCAATGTTAAAGAAGTTATCTAGAAATCACTGGATTCATCAATTGGGCAAATACCTTTAAGGAATTCAGCTTAATAGAATTTGTGTGATCTTGCTAAATAACAGACAACAATTACATACCTCTCTAATACCTGAAACCTTCTAAAACTCTACACCTCACCATCTGACTCCGTCTCCACTTGCTAAAATTACAGCTGGGTTACCAAAAACAAGTTGAATTCTTGTAAGAGTGTATTTATCACATATTAATTGGCAACATCTAAATAATGCATACACTGCGTTCTAATGGTTTATTAATATGTTCGGTTGAAGCAAACCTGAACACTCAAGTTGCTGTGGTGTTTAAATTCTAAGAATGTGCTTCATTGATCAATACCAATACATTATGAGCAAACTCCATCTTAAAGAGTGTAATTTTGCATATGTATATTATGAAAAATTTACTGCAAGAATTAAAAATCTAACCTTTCAAGTGGTGCATGTCAAACAGGAAAGAGCAACTCGGTGCTATATCGTTCTCTCCCTTTTTTCCACATAAATATTCTTTAGTTGTTTTGCAGTGTTTTTAAAATTGCAGAGGGACGTTCTGCTACAAACATATGCAGAGATTTTTCTTAGCAGTCGCTGGCTGCATCCTTGTGTTGCGTGACCTGGAGCGGCCATGTCAACACTCTGACACAAGTAACACAGGAGGCTCAGGGAGCACAGGAAACCTCAGTGTAGCAACGGATGACTGGGCTTGACAATTTAACAGAAAAAAAGTGGTAAATGCTTGGAAGGCAGGCCAAACTCCTAACTGCATCTACTGTAAATTAGCTAAAATAAGACTTTCTGGCTAAGAGGAGTTAAAAATAAATATTACTTCTATTTGCACAGTGAGTCATTAGCATGGAACTAGTTAAGGAGTCGATTTTTATTCATTTATGTATTTTACACTGTAAACATAAAGATTGTCACAGAGGTCTATGTAGTATTTTTATTACCTTTTTCAATAATTAGACAATAGGCAGTACAACTAAAAACAGTAATACTACTCAGTCTATACTTCATATCTCTAACTACACCCTGCTTGCACTCAGGATGTCTTGCATTTCAGAAATATTATCCAACTTAAGGAAATATTCCCTATTTTCTCTTTTCCTTTTAGTCCATGGTTCTCCTGCTTCACAGCCAGCGACAGTATATATTCGATTTTGACTCTCTCGACCGTCTATCTGCTGTCACCATGCCAAGTGTGGCCCGCTACACCATGCAGACCATTCGTTCAGTGGGTTACTACAGGAACCTTTATCACCCGCCAGAGAGCAATGCCTCAGTAGCGGTGGACTACAGTGAAGATGGCCTCCTGCTGAGAATAGGTCACTTTGGCACAGGCCGGAGAGTCCTGTACAGGTACCGCAGGCAGAATAAACTGTCAGAGATCCTGTATGACAGCACAAGGGTCAGCTTCACCTATGATGAAACAGCAGGTGTGCTGAAGACTGTCAACCTGCAAAATGAAGGTTTCATCTGCTCTATTCGCTACCGGCAAGTGGGTCCCCTGGTCGACCGGCAGATTTTCCGCTTCAGTGAGGATGGCATGGTCAATGCACGCTTTGATTATACTTATGACAGCAGCCTGCGTGTCACCAGTGTACAAGGCGTCATAAACGAAACGCCACTTCCCATCGACTTATACCAGTTTGATGACATCTCAGGAAAGGTTGAGCAGTTTGGAAAGTTTGGGGTGATCTACTATGATATAAATCAGATCATATCCACTGCAGTCATGACATATACCAAACACTTTGATGCACATGGACGCATCAAGGAAATCCAGTATGAGATATTTCGGTCACTCATGTACTGGATTACTTTCCAATATGACGATGTGGGCAGAGTCACCAAGCGAGAGATCAAGATTGGTCCTTTTGCTAATACCACCAAGTACAGCTATGAGTATGATGTGGATGGCCAGCTCCAGACTGTATTCTTAAACGACAAAGTGATGTGGCGCTATACTTATGACCTTAATGGAAATCTGCACCTGCTGAATGCAGGAAACAGTGCCAGACTTTTACCTCTGCGTTACGACCTGCGAGACCGCATCACCCGGCTCGGAGACATCCAGTATAGAATGGATGAAGATGGTTTTCTTCGTCAGAGGGGAGCAGAAATCTTTGAGTACAACTCTAAAGGCCTTTTGGTACGGGTTTATAGCAAGAGCAGCGGCTGGACAATTCAGTATCGTTATGATGGACTTGGCCGAAGAGTATCCACAAAGAGCAGCCTGGGCCAGCACCTGCAGTACTTTTATGCAGATCTGAGCTATCCGGCTCGAATAACACACGTATACAACCACTCAAGTTCAGAGATCACCTCACTCTACTATGACCTACAAGGCCACGTATTTGCTATGGAGATCAGCAGTGGAGAGGAGTTCTATATTGCTTGTGATAACACCGGCACACCTCTGGCTGTCTTCACAAGCAACGGCCTCCTGGTCAAACAGCTTCTATACACAGCATATGGTGAGGTCTACTTGGACTCTAACCCAGATTTCCAGCTTGTGCTCGGCTTTCACGGGGGCCTTTATGATCCTCTGACTAAACTGTTGCACTTTGGGGAGAAGGATTATGATATAATGTCTGGAAGGTGGACCATTCCAGATGTTTCTGCTTGGAAAAAAATTGGCAAAGAGCCAGTCCCTTTTAATCTGTACATGTTCAGAAATAACAACCCCATCAGCAAAGTCCATGAAGTTAAAGAATACGTTGCAGGTAAGATGTGCACCGGAAGCTGCTCGTGCTATTGCAACAATTGATCTTATTTTCATGATTGATGTTTCTGCCAAGCATTTTTTTCTGTTTATCAAGAAGCAGCAAGAAAAAGCAAATACTTGGCAGCTTTTCCTGAAAACATTGAATTGCCAGTTAATTTTAAATCTAATCCATAATCTGCTAAACAGCTGTGATGATTGTCATTGATCTGATGATCCAATTTAGCTTTATTAACATCTGAATATTGCATGTATATTCATATAAGCTATTAATTTATTCAATATGCAGTTTTCAAAAGCATCAAATTAGCGTTAAACATGTACTAAAGTGAGTACTCAAGAAATTCGCTCTCGCTAAAGATCAGTCTGAGATGGAATCACAGCAGCCATGACACCAATATGCTATCTCACCATATTAATTGTGGAAAATATCACATTTCTTAACCAGATTCAATTCAATTCGATTTTCAATTCAATTTTATTTATACAGTGCCAAATCACAACAGTTGCCTCAAGGCGCAGCTGATGATAAGTCTCACAGGGAGTTACAAATATCCTCTAGAATATTTTTCCCCAGGACCACATTTTGGCATCATGACACACACACACGCACTGTCACTGTGTCAGCACATTTAAACTATACCAGCCATACTCTTGCAGCTAGTTCATTTTCAAATCTTTAACTATAGTTAGAACTTTAGATTTTAACCTCAATTCATTTCCTTTTTTCAGATGTTAACACCTGGCTAGTAACTTTTGGTTTCCATCTTCACAACACCATTCCTGGTTTTCCAGTCCCAAAGTTTGACTTGAGCATGCCATCGTATGAACTGAGGAAGAGTCAGCTGTGGGATGATCTGCCGGTGGGTAAAATTAATGTCTCTCAGAAAAAACTGAACCCAAAATAAACTGAAGAGCGACTGAGACAAAACCTTTGCTTCTACAGATGACCAGATTACAAAAAAGGTGTTAGTTTTTTTTCCTCCCATTGTTTTCCTTTTACCTCTGTATTTTGAAGCTGCCATTTCCTAATTGGACTGCATTGCATTTCACAGAAGATCTGTTTTAATTGGGCCATATTTGCATAATAATAAACAGAAAATAAGGAAAAGTTTTCTTTGTGCTGTCTGAGTTTAGTTACGAGCTGAACATATTTTAAAGCTGTCTAATTTTCTAAATAATATTCTGGTGTCGCTACTGTTAAAACTACTTTTTGATGCTTGGCTCCTTTGGTCTAAGGCCTTAACACAAAAAAGTGTTGCAGTAAAATTGTCATGGGGGATTTATCTACTTTTGGCTTGAGAACACAGCTTGAAAACACCATTATCTTGGATGGGGATGAAAAACTCTCTGAAGCAGAGCAGTAGCTGGTTCTAAATGGCCTGGAGAGTCAGGTTCTGCCATGTTCAGGCATTAACGTTTCACTGCACTTTTCCTACAGTCTATCTCTGGGGTCCAGCAGGAAGTAACCAGACAAGCACACTCTCTCTTGTCATTCGAGCGGCTGCCAGAGGTCCATCTCAATAGAGGTCGGAGAGGTGAAAAGTCTTGGCTGTGGTTCTCAGCTGCAATGTCTCCCATCGGAAGGGCTGTTATGTTTGCCATCTACAAGGGCAGTGTCCACACTCACACACTCAACGTGGCCAGTGAGGACTGTATCAAGGTTGCATCAATCCTCAACAATGCTTTCTATCTAGAAGACCTCCACTTTACCATAGAAGGGCGAGACACCCACTACTTTGTCAAGCCAGGCCTTCCAGATGCTGACCTTGCTGCGTTACACCTCACTAGTGGACACAAGACTCTTGAGAATGGTGTCAATGTGACTGTTTCCCAGTCCACCACAGTCATGGACAGTCGAACTCGGCGATTTGCAGATGTGGAGATTCGTGCTGGTGCTCTGGCTTTCCATATCCGCTACGGATCCACAGTGGATGAGGAGAAAGCGCGAGTTATCGAGCTTGCACGTCAGCGTGCCCTGGCAGGCGCATGGGCCAAAGAGCAGCAGCGAGTGAGGGACGGTGAAGAAGGGGTTCGCCCCTGGACAGAAGGGGAGAAGAGGCAGCTTCTGAGTAGTGGCAAAGTTTTGGGATATGATGGGTACTATGTGCTTTCCATCGAGCAGTACCCAGAACTAGCAGACAGCACTAATAACATCCACTTTCTCCGGCAAAGTGAAATTGGGAAGAGGTAACAATACCAGGTGTACTTTCTGCCAAAGAGACTTTGTTTTGGTGGAGACTCTCCAGTCGACAGAAATGAAAAGCAACTTTAATTAATAGTTGCTGGTGGGTGCCCTGAGTGTTATTGTGTTTTTGTATAAAAATAGAAAAAAAAAAGAACAAAGAAAAACAAAAGAGGAGAAAAACAGAAGTAGTTAAAAACAATGCTGTGCATTGTGACCTGGACACTACAGAGTAAATGTTCAACTACGCTACGCCTTAACATGGCAGTTACAGGTCAGTTCCTCTGTAGCACAAGCCTTCTGGACTCTGAAACAGAGGAATAGTGGTGTCTTTAAGGAATCAGTGAGCTAATTTAGGTGTTTGGGTTTTTTGGTTTTTTTGTTGTTTTCATCAAGGAAAGTTGGGTCAACAAATTATTGTAAGAGCAGAGGAAATGTTTACATTATGCATATCTGCACTTCTCTAGAAGTACCAGGCTCGTGGGTGCAGTCCCAGAGCAAGCAGTGTCCTTGAGTATTTGTTTTGTTCTGTTTTGAAATCAGAGACTTCTGATTATAGAAATATTCTCACCAAACAACCACTATGTATACCAGATTTAGCACTGTAAACATCAAAATGTCTTATTCTTGTTGAGATAATTTTAAACAGAAAAAAAAAAGAAACGTGTTTAAATGCGGTACCTGATATTCATTGTGAGAAAAAAACAACAAAAAGAAAAAAAACAACAACAACAAAAGGACAGCAAAGGTATGAAGAACTTTGCCCGGTGGGACAAAGCACAGCTTTGTCTTGGATAGCACAGGGACACCACATTTTGTAAATTATGCAAGAGTTTTATGGCATTTTTTTAAGAAACTGAATAAATGTCTGTACTAGTCATCTTAACAGTAATTTATGTTGTGTTTATACATAAATAAAGTCCAGCTGATTTTTATTTTCGTTCTTTTAGTTTTATGTGAGACATTGATTCAAAAAAAAAATTATATATATATATCTATATATCTATATATATAGATATATATTTATTTAATTATTTATTTATTTTTGTCATTCTTTCAAATACCGCTAATTTGGGGCTTCTTCACAATGCTCTGTTTAAGTAAGTAACAGAAACCTGTGCATGTGGTGACAAGTATTTAGAAGTGGTGATGTATCTATAACTTGCAGTCAACTATTACTTCCACTAAATTTAATGTTTATTGGGCATAATGCCTTTTGACTTGGCTTTCCTGTCCAATGAATAATTCATCAACACAAATATTTCATGAACCCATCTCACATAAACAACAACAGTGGATACAAATATAGATCACATCCATGTTCTCGGTAGGTATCATTTTTTTGAATGTTAAATGCACTAATTAAAATGATATTGGGGTTCTTTCGGGTGTGTTGTTTTTTAGATTTCTGAAGTGAGACTTTTTTGATATTAAGGGTGTTCATTAGCAGTGTTAGGGCCAAGCTTTATCAAGGCGAGTTTGTTATTGACTTTTTTTGTCTGACAGTGTTTTAGTTCTAATTGTTAAAAATGTCAAAAAACATGTGAATCTACAAGAATCACTGTGCAGATATAGGTGAAAATGAAACTGCAACACATAATCAGACTACTACTAATCGGATGCTGATTTTGATTGATCTTCAGAAGCATTCCCAAATAGCAACATACATAAAGCACTAGTATTCCAAAATAAAATAAAAGCAGTGCCAAAACCCCATTAAATTCTCAAATTAGATTAATGATTTAAAATAAATCTTCTGAGCTACAAAGCCCTAGAAGACAAATGAAGCATTACTTTGAAGTCAGCTGCTCGAAGGCATTCTGAAGTATGTAAATTGATGAAGAAATTTTAAGTTTAATTAAGCTGAAGTATAGACAGTTGACTAAAAGTCTAGTCAGTCAGCGTCATTATCACAAAGGATAAATTTGCGTGTGAACATAAAAAGCTTATTTTCTCAAAATTACATTTAGGCTGTGATCACCTTTTCCGGTGTTTTTCATCAAAGCGCAGAAGAGTTTGGATGTTGGAATGTATAAGTCTGAAAATAACCCCTTCATATGAAAGTGATTTCTTTTTCGTGGTAAACTTCAAACAGCATTTCAAACCAAACGGGAGCCGAATATTCTTTGCTCAAAAGTTGTTTTACACTGTTGTTTTTGTCCTCCTCTCAGCTTCTCTGCTTCCCCCAGTTTCTTTATATGTTGTTGGGGGTTTTGTTTCTCCATTTAAAATATTTTATGACACACAGCCCAACAAAGGTGCATCTCTTTTAATGTTTCTCAGCACAAAATCTGAAATACATGCCTTCAAAGTTTTCATCAGAATCCCTTTGGGTATATCACACCCATTCACTGCCAACTTTTAATGAAATGTTTTATTAAAGTTCCCCTGTGAGCCATCGTCTGTTGTCCTTCACGTTGAAATTATAGTGAACTTATACGAATCCCCATTTGTTTTGATATATCCATACAAAGCATTTCAAACCACTGCTGAAAAAAAAAAAATAGCGGAATTCTAATGCAAACTTGACTATGCCAAATATGAAGTATTCAAATCTTTCATTCTCTTAAAAGCCCTCTGATGCTCCCTAGTGGTACAAAGCACATAGTTCAGAAAGTCATCCGGCTGACCTGCTTTATCGCAGCACACTTGTTATAACAGCAATTATTACTGTTCCTTCATAAGGATCAGAAATATTGTTTCTTTGAGATCCAACTTCAAATAATTTCTGAAATTCTAGCGATTAGTAAGCCAGATGTTGGGAGGGAAAAGACTCCAGGTTAATTTAAAGAGACATCAAATGGAATAGTTAAACTAGTAATATTAAAATGAACGCCAGTACTGCTGCAGTATCACACTGTGACCACACTGCCAGAGCAACAGTGCGGCATATCACTATGCAGTGCAACTAGCTCTACTTCAAAGGCTTACATAAAAGAGATGGCAGAACTTTGCAAGAACATCAAAGAACCAAAAGCATTGTGCAATAACCACATCAGAGCAACAGAGAAAAAAAATCAAGCATGTTTCATAATTCTTTTTTTCAGATGGAGGTAGCGGCATGAGATCACACCATCAAACATGAAATGATTTCACACTCTACATGTCCCCCTCTTGGATACCTGAAGATGAAACCAAAGATCATATGACACTTCAGTTTGACGTCAACGGGCTTGATTTATTTAGGTGGTTGATTTTGACTTTCAAGTGGCTCGGGGACTTTATATCAAAATAGCTGTTACAGTACTGAAGAAATATCTACAAGTATAAATTCTGATTCAAGTCTAGAGATGTAGGGAATTGAAGCAAGCTTTGACAAAAATCTCCTCTCCTCAGATTCATATAAAATCATCTGACAAAAAGCTGAGACTAAAGACAGCTGCAGTAATTTAAAGCGAAGGTGAATTTACAGTAACAAAGCGGCGAACGTCGATGCGATGTTAAATATGTGCAATCATGTTCATCAACCGAGCTTATTAGATAATTATGAGCACATTAATAATCAACAGACAGAGACAACGCACATTTTAATTCTTAAATGTCCAGGGGGAAGTTAAATTTAAACATGTAGTCCGTGACTCATAAAAGATCTGTTTTTTCCCTTCTGCCAACAAACAAGCACACAAGCGAATGCAGTTTCATTATTGTTTTTACTCACTTTGAGCTGACAACTCGTCGAGCTTCCGTTTGATGAAAAATCAACAGGACCTGTAGAGATAAAATAAGATTGATGTGTAACAGTGTTTTTGGCAGGATTTCCAAATGCAGGAAATTTGACTAAACTTAAATAGTAGCGACTTAAAAAAGGATCAAACAGGTGCAATTTTTCTAAAGGAAAATGTTTGAACTAACAACAGAAACAGAAGGTATAATATTAGAGTGTATAAATATTTTCTTTATGATGTTTGCCACTTAGAGGATGCCGCAGCAAAAAGAATTTTCTGGCACAACTTCACCTGCTTCCAAGGTGCATGGAGAGGATAAAAGAATTCGCGTTTCGGCTTGTGGCCTTCATCAGGGTCCCTGATGAAGGCCACAAGCCGAAACGTTGGTCTATTATTAAAGTTGTTCATCTTCCCTCAAGTGTTGCTGGAGTTCCCACTTAGAGGATGCCTACAGCAAAAAGAACAGTTATTACTTAATCTGTTTGCTACATTTTGTAATACATTTGTTGCTACATTTAAATTATAAATGCACTGATTGTGTTTAACTGTGAGGATAAAGACTCCAGTGATTTATATATGAAGGCCGAGCTGAAGACAAAGATGACATTGATTTATTCCAGGACTTTATACCTGTTAAAGGACGGGGAGAAGAGAGGGGGTGGATAGAGATGGTTAACTTTCATTTCACATGGCAGTGAGAACAAGAAAATGATTTATCCCTGCCTTTTTTAATTAGTAACTCAGTCTCAGTCTGACTCAGTAAGGCATGTCATAATACATGTCGTATTTGTGAGACTTGCAAATGTACCGTAATAGGTCTCGTGTCTTCACAAACATCTCATCCACTGTAGCCGTTTCTCCACCAGCATCCCATTCATCCCAACTAAATGAGAACAAGAACAAAGGATTTTTGGGGTTCTTGCTGCTCTTCTTGCTCAGCGTGAAGCCTTATAATGCTAGGCTTGTACCATGTCCCAATTCAGAAATAGCTGCTTGTTATCATTCCTCTGATCTTCTGAGAACTGTTGCGCACGCTGATGGGACTACTTGGTAAGTCTGCAAAGAGTGTTGGAAAAAAAAAAACAGAGAGAGCTAATGATCTCAGGGACGATTTAGAGAGAGTGGACTGTGGATTCTTAGTTTCACGCGGATGAAACGGAGTTCACTGTTGTTCAAAAGCACTGTGTGTGTGTTGTGATGTGGCTCGGGTAGTGGGGAGCAACAGAACTATTTTTACACAGACCATGTGGATTGTGAGAACAACAAATATTTCCCATGTGCATGGCAGCTATTACAGTGTGACATGAATGACATTTTCAGCTTCCAACAAGCAGTGGACAAAAACACTCCGTCTCTTCAAGGTATGTATATCGCTGAACCTCATTTATAAGAAGAAATACTTAGAAAAGTACTTAAAGGAGTACTATAAGGAAACATCATGTGCACTCAGTAACTTTAAAACCACGCATTTCCAATCTCCACCAACATAAATAGAATATTAA